TGCACGCGCAAAGTGGTGAGATCACCCCCAGACGTGCTGTGCTTTATAGTTGATTGTTCGTGTTTGGTAAAACGTATGTTGTAATACCTTTATTTTCGACTGTTTTATTTAAAACCTCACTTAACGCAATGTAATTACAATTAATGTTTTGCCAGCCACGAGCAATCGACTGTAAAACAGTGCACGTCGGGGAATGATCTCAGCTTTGCGTGTGCATGTAAGATGTTCGTCGTCTATTCCTTCATATGTGGGGGATATATTCTCCTACAACGGATTAGCTGAAACAGAAAACACTATGGAAATTATGAGGTCTTGAGACCGAAACGTACGTGTGGCATTATATAAGTGCCTCAATAACTTCATAAATGGCTCAAATTATGTTATCAGATCGTATATTGTTCTGAGCGGTTTAAAAAAAAAAACGGTTGAAAGGGTTCTATCACTGAATTCACTGTTTTCTTGATGAGCGCACGCGAGATTGTTAACAGCAGGATACTGACTACATACTGTTTGGCGTTTAGGCGGTTTTTTAGAGGCTGTGAAGGCAAAATTATCTTACTGTGCGAGTGGATACTCGTGGATTGAATTTTTTGTTCAGCTAATAAAATCGTTGAATAAGTTTATCAAATAGTTAGCCTTCAAGTGTTTTGAGAGTTATTCTACAATGATGAAGTGAGATGAGTAAGGTCAATTGTAGTCGACCACTCGTTTAAAGTACATCGATTCGATACTGTTGTTCGTGATCACATGTAGCTCAGTATTCTCGCTGAAACACGGTCTATCGATGAACTGTTCTTCGGTTTGGGATTGTTAGGAGTGTGATTGATTTGCTGATTGCCAAACCTTTGAAGTGTAATTCAGGCAGAGTTTGATATGAACTATTTGAATATAGTTGCCAAAGGTATAGATTTACGTAGGCTAGACTCCCTCCGTTTAGCATTTTGCACCAAACTTTGAGTATGCTGCGTTATGCTTCATTTATGTTTGCCTCTCAACTCTACTTTTGAAAGTTTCTGTTACATCCCCGGTATGGATGAAACGTGGGTTCGATTCTCGCCTGAGGCCGTCTTTTTGCTCGCCACTCAATTTTTTTAGGAATATACGAAAAATCTTTTGATACTGGGTTATAACCCATACTGGGTGGGGAAAATCAGAGCGCATGTGGCGCAGTGGTAGAGGTGCTCTGCGTCGCACACGAGGTCAATGGTTCGATCTCGCGATCATGGCTCACCAAGCCATCCATCCCTTCGGGTTCGGTAAATTGGTACCAGGCAGGTCTTAGACTTGTCTGGGAGGATAAGCAGCACTGACTTGGTTCAGCGGGAGGCCACCGCGAGTCATTGTAAAGGCCAGATATGCATTCAATTACCTCAAACGAAGTTAAAAATTGAAGTCGAATGCATGGCGCATCCCTCAGGGATTGATTAACGCCAAGAGCTTTATCTTTATTCTTTATACGAAAAATCATAACACTGCAAAAATAAAATCTGGATACTAGAAATTCCGAGTTTCTGGTACTTTAAAATTGCTTTTGACTTCCATATTTCATTTGGATCTCCGTCGTTCAGTTTTGAATTTACTTTTATTTCAGGTAGATGACGAAGGTGGCTCAGATGGCGAAGAAAATGACGCCTGATTTTTTGGTATAAAGCATGGGATTTTATGTCCACGTCGCTGTCATTGGAACTTCACTCCGTGGTTGTTTTATTTGTTTCACGGTATTGTTGACTCTTAATCCGGTTTTGTTATTGTCATGGTTACTGTTCGGAGTTGAAGCTTGAAGGAGCGCAATATCATTTGTTAGTCTGCTAAATATGGCTGATTTCGTTGTTAAAGGATTAGACCCATGCAAAGGATTTGGATACTCTTGAGATGGATGTCATGTCTTAATCTTCCCTCCCTACAAGTAATCCTTGGGCTGAGTTTCGTCTCAAGAATAAATTTTTCGCATTTTTCTCTTTTGTTTCTTGAAAATGTTGTGTGAAATTTCTAAGTTTATCTTCGTCAATGTCTTTAGTACCTCTAAAATGGAGGGTCCTAATCTGATTTTGCTATGAGTTTGAGTATTGTTTATACTAAATGACATGAAACGACTTGCTATATGTTGCTATTTTATCTTATCTTTCTTCCTTCACATTTCCACGTAGTTGTTAATTGTTACTACTTCTGTTTATGTCAATTCTTGATGGGCAACCTCCAGCATGTACGCCTGTGAATACTGAAGTAAACTGCTATCATTTGGACGTTGTTTTGACTAGGTCGAGCAGAGCTTCAAGAAAGACATCTCATTTAGTAGTGACGCGAAAAAATATGATGTGAATCGGTTTAAGTGTGATTTTTTTGGCTGTGAAACTTATTTGGTATTCTGGAAATAGAGTTTTTCTATGTTGTTTCATCATTATCACGACCCATCATCAACAACTGAGCATTTCATGTGTTGCTTTGGCTGCTGCTTGAGGATTTTGTGTTTTATAAATGTTCTAGAATGCTGCTTGAGACGATTCCTCTTGAGATTGTGGAGGTAACCGAGAGCGTTTCTAGGCGTTCAGTTGATTGATTGCAAAGTAGTATTAGAGGTGAGAGGGGGGGGGGGGGGGCTGACAAATTAGGGTCTTGCTTATCACCTCTCTTCCTGATCTGCCGCATCATCAATCACTGCCCAACCCCATCGGCGGAATAAAATACGAAATTAAAAATTATCGCTACCATGTAACCCACAGTATATTCCATCAGAGATTAGCGCGCTTACTGGTGAAATGTGGACTTCCTTTTTTGACAAAAAGTCTTATTTTCTCATAAATAGAGTAGCATAGGAGGTAACAGACCTACAAAAAACACTTTCCCACATTGTCATGAAGGTGCTTTCTTTTGAAGAGATATGCCTTCAGTTTCGAAATAGTTTGCTATGAACATTCTCAAAGAAGATTTTCAAAATGAAACTCAATCTGAAATTTCGCGCAAATGTGGCAGCAGCATATGTTCAGCGTTACATTCGGCACATGATATCGGGTGCTGCTGGATGAAAATCCTGTAGTGCGCGCGGGTCAAATGAAAAAGTTGAGCGTAGACGACGAATCACACATATTAAAGCAGTGGACAAACATTTGTGTCGGTATCGGAAAAGGCTCAGCCCAAATCCCCAAAGCCACTGGAAACAAAAGCCAATTTAGATCAAAATTCTGCCGTAATGAACAAATCTGATCTGACCACACCTAGCTGACGTATTCAGGCTACGGGAGCATCATGCTCTAACATGAGAAATGCCTACCCAGTCGTGAATTCCTGTCCTACCCTTAGAATAAGTGCGCCACTCTTATGGGCACACCCATGTGAGCGCCTACCGTGTAGTAGCGTGACAAGACTAGAATCCACGAGATATTGTTTAGATCTGAGTTGGAAATTTTCGCCCATTTCTTTCGTGCTCGATATACAAGCCTTGAGGCAAAGAATTAGGAGGAACGTGTCACGGATTTTATTTTTTCGAGGTTTCATCATGGCAGAATAGGAGAAGTCGTGAGTCATACTTAAAATCTGGATATTCTATCAGTTTTTGATACAGCGAATGAAGCTCCATAAAGGGTGAGATTTCTTTGTACGAAGCAGAAGAAGACCACTTTCTTATTTCATCACTCTAAATGAGGTCGCTTTACGATGGGTGGCTAGATGTAAAATGTCAAAGTAATCATTAAAGAAGTGTAATAACCGAACAGTTTTCCTTTTTGTTTGTTTCCGATTGGTAAATGAATGAATGAATGGGTCACTGTGGCCGAGTGGTTGTGATACTCGTCCAGGCGCACGTGAAGTCGAGCTCCACCACACCTCTCTCCGACAGTCAATAGTAACGCCTTGTGGAATGCAACAGCCAGGCTATCCCTGAGATTGCAAGGAGACTCGCTCGACCAGTATTCTACGACGTTAATTAAGAATACGAAACAACGAATTGAATGCTAGAAATACTGGGATCATCGCAGTGAAAAAAATAATGTGAAGACGGATCAGTAAAGTGTCAGGAAAATTGATAAACTCGTTTAATTTTCATGTCTCGAATGGTTTCCCTGAATCCCGTCTCGCCTCACGACTGTTTGTAACACGCCCACCTGCAGGTCGATTGAGTCGACTATCCGCACAAAAATTCGACGCGGCACCGCCTGCTATCAGTGACAGTACCTTGAGGGTTAATCTCGCCTTTGGTCAAAATTTGAGTCTGGACAAGTAAAAGGGAAAAATACATTATATGTGCTCCAAAATCATCTGAGTTCCGTCTTTTTAGAGGAAGATAACTCGGTCTTACAGTAATGATCTGTGTATTGTAACGACACTTCACTTTTTCTCGAGGAACAGAGACAAGTTTGTTAACAGAATTTATTCGAAACAGCACTGGTTAATGTTTCAACGAATTCGATTTTTGCAGAGGCTGGAGGATGTGTCTTTTCTCATCGATAAAGTACTGAATTATTTGAACAATGCCACGGTCATTGGAAAGTCGATCTTGGATGCTTTAGTGATATTTGTTCCAATTAATATTACTATCAAGAACCTAAAATCTCGTTCTTTGGGTTTCAATAGTGTAATTTCAGATTATTAGACAAAATTCCTTTTATCTAACCGCTTTTAGCGGTGGTATAATGTTTTACCTACCTACTGATGTAAAGTGGTGTGCAGAACTATTGCGTTAGCTGGGATTCAAACCCGCATTTCATCTTGTACGGGGGCTTGTACTCGAACCTTTGCACCATCGGCGCCGTTTTTGACACCACTCCTACGCTACAAACGCATCTACCTGTCAGCAACCAGCCGTCAGCGGTCTGTCGTGGGTAGTCACTATCGACGTTGAACCCAGTCACTCTGACAGATATTGCGTATTTAATTATCAAGCAAAATTCTTTTTATTCAATCGCTTTAGGCGGTGATATGATGTTATACTATAGCTAGTGGCTGTCGACTGTTGGTTCTGACAGATAGAGGCATTGTAGCGTAGAAAGAGTGGTGTCAAAACAGGTGCCCGTAGTGCAACAGTTCGAGCATGCTCCCTTGAATAGGGTGAAATGTGGGTTCGAATCCCACATTGGGCAAAAGTTTTGCATATCGAAGTGCATATCGTTTATTATAGTAAATGGTGTCATTTTTCCGGCTCATTTTGTGTATGAACTCTGTGCATACGGAAAATAACAAAATAAAAAGCCCAAAATATCGAATAAATATTTTGCCGCTGAACCCCATCTGCTCTCGATCGCTAAGGAACCACAATATATAGGTGTTACATGGACTGAAGAAATTAGTAGTGCACAATCTGTTCTAGAAATATGCATGAAAAGGAAAGAATTATTTTCAACAATAAAAAGGATAAGTATAAGTTCACACAAAGTCCTTTATGATTGACTTGTTGATCATTAAAGAAATGTCCTTTCCAATACGGTGCTCATTAGTAGAACGCAATTATTTTGCTTTCCATCTGATTTAAAAAACTTTTGCTTGTTCCGGTTTCAAGTGGTCACGCTTATTTTCCTTAAATAGCAGGCGAATTTTTTATTCAATATTTGTACACATATTTATGCCAGTCTAATAACGTAAATACTTCGGGGTAGAGCCTATTTTCTGATTGTTTTACCTGGCTCAATCTCAATCCATTCTAGGCTGATGAAAAAAGGTTATTACGATTTTAGACCATGTTATAATAGATATCTAAGAATAATAGGTTGGAGAAAAAGTTCAGAGAAAATGCTTGTAACTTTCTAGTTGTCCGTCATTTTTCGTGTTTTTAGGCTCATTTGAAAGCCTGTCTTTTCCCACGTTGATTGGTATATAATTTATCTTCTGTGCACCGTACTTTTGCCAACTATGTCTTCACCCCAAGCCAGATTGTACGTTCACTTGCCACCGTTGCATTTGAATCCAACAACCATTCATGTATCATTAATAACCTAATTTGCTCGCTTGTTTAATTCCATCTTGAAATGAGGAGAGAAATTATATGCCAATCAACGCGGGAGAAGCTGAGCTTTCAAATGAGCCCAAAAACACAAAAAATGGCCGGAACCAAAAAAGTTGCAAGCATTTTCTCAGAACTTTTTCTCCAACCTATCAATATCCGAAATAAATATAGAATAGACAGTAAGTAAAATGTCATTGCCAACAAAACATAAAGCGAACCGAGAAATGTGCTTAAAATGGAATGTAACCACAATTATTCAAGAACATGCTCAATATCAAAATTGCATTTCAACATGCATAAGTCTCAATTACTTTTTCACCGACCTAGTAATAAAATATTCATTCGTATGCGGCCTAATTGTAGGTCGCATCATCTAACTTCGCTTTTTTATTACTTTCATGGAATAAATGTACAGAGATTCATATGGTCCAAACTCTTCTCCAGAAAGGCACGAACAGCTAAGAATTATCACTCGAGGAAAACGTGTTATTCAGAGTACTCCTTCTACCCTTTAACGGGAATGGAGCAACGTGATTAGTTTTTTAGTCATTGTAAGGAAGAATTCATTTTTAAAACAAATATAAGTATGTTTATTAATACCTAGATTTCCTACGTTCTTACTGCTTCTTCGCAAAGTGATAACGTTTCAAATGCACCTGAGAAAATTAAACGGTGAGCGAAAATCCGACCTCAGACGGGAGTTGAACTTGCGTTTTGACCATTCCGGAAACGCGTGCTATCATTACCTCACATAGAGACCACCGCTTACCCATCACTCATTCTGCAATATCTCTCTATCATAGCCAATCACTAAACATTAACCGGTTTGGTTAAGCAATATCGCTCTATAAATCCAGTTAAGCTGACAATCACTATAGTTATATTATTCAAAATTTCCCACGTTTTTACTGCTTTCAGCTCTCGCCTGAGGTTGAATTATTGCCTATTAGTCAGTTCTCTTCAGTGCATCTTTATTGAATTTTTACGTTAAGAAAACGATAGATACTTGAATACCAAAGTGCGAGAAGGCTTGATTTCTGCCTCTAAAAGACGTGAAGGACTTTGGAAAACGATTTCTTTATGCTCTTTCTCCCCTTTTTCTCTCTTCTTTCTTGTTCTCAATGATATCTCGGAAAGATCTGATATGATCTGGGAGCGTCATTTGCAGGCTTTACATTGTTTCAGTTCTGTGGACTGGATTCTCTATGAAGACTACTCTTTCTTGGGCGTACGGTGTTTTTCCCTTCCATCAAAACTTCCTTTCTCTTGAGAGCTTCAAAGCATTTTCAGCTAATTTTCATTTCATCATTCCATTTGACAAAATGTTATTATTAAGTGTACTTTCGAGGATGTTTTCTCACACAAAATCGCAAGTAATTTTCGTTATTCCCAGGAGTTCCGAAAAAAGCATGGTTTTTTAGAAAGGAAGAAAAAGAGAAGGATGTCTCACTTGGTCTGCCTTTTAGCGTAGTGCTTCTTCAACTTTTTCTCAGAGCAATATACCAGCAGATTAACGGAAAAATGTGAGCATGCCATTTTTAAGCAGCCTTTTGAAGCTGTACTTGCTACATTCAAAAATCGTTCATCTCTTCTCTAACGAGAAGAATTTTGAAGTGGAAGTCTCCATCTTCGCGCAAGAGTATAAAAGCTTAGCGATCAAAATGCCTAATTTATTCTGGATTCCATGAATCCAAAAAGGATTCGCATGTAGGATGCCTCATAATAATGCGCAAATGGCTCAGATATAGGACTTATTTTGATGAGAGAGGTGCATTCGCACTTCGTGTGAATTCCGCACGGTTTGTCTTCATGTGGCCTAAGTGGAGAACTCATAAATAGCTATGAGTATGTGGGAAAGCTTTTTTTAGATGCGACTGAAATGTAGGTTTGGCCTTTTTTCCTTATTGAAGTAATGGACGCTTTTGACTCATTGAGTTGTTGACAGTCTGACCTTTCAGGCTCTGAAGAAGGCAAAACCGCCGAAATGTCAGCTGTTAAAGTAAATTGCGATACGAAAACTTATTTCGGCTTTCAAAGAAAAGGCTTAAAATTACTGAAGAATGCCAACGTTAATAGATAGTCTGTCATGAGAATTATTACTCTGGTAGTATTGCATTTAAAAACGTTCTTGACAGTCTTTCAATAACACATAAAGCCAAGATCCGTTTGTGTTCGGAAATTGGTGCTAGATTGCTTGAAAAATTATGTTGACCTCAAAATCTAATAAGGCCTAGAATGACCCTTCTGGTGCCGTTTTTGAATAGAGGAATTAACTTGGTGAGCACGTGAGAGACTTATTAGAAAGGCGATGATCCTCAGTGACTAGTTGTACACACGCTTAAACGTTGGATGCTTGCAAAAAATTTGGGAAGTACGAAACGTGTTATCATTGATAGAAAGGTAGTTTTCTGTGAGACGGCAACGAATGATTATTCGACCCCGTTCGCTGCACAAAAAAATTTCATAATATTGTTATTGATCATGCGTAAGCTTAAATCTCTAGCTAAAGCCATACCTGACCGATTTTTTTGAAACACTGTTTTGTAACGCTGTAAAATCCAAAAAAATTGCTATGTTATACATTACACGCGTTTTTTCTTCTTTTCTCGCTTATATTTCGCTGGACAAAACTCTTTTTTTAGACTGCTAGGACTCTTTCGATATCACACTTGTCGTAGAACTCAAAAATGTGTTTGCTTTCTGAAGAAGATCTGTTGATAGCGCTGTAGGAAGAAGAAAGCATTTCTGTTTTACACTTTGCCGTACAGAGCTCCTTCTTCAGACTAAGTAATCATTCGATAGCGTAACTTTCAATGATTCCAGCAATGTGCTTGTTTTTCGGAAAGACCGTCTCACTGCAGTGTAGCAGGGAAATTATATCGAGTTTCGAATATTTGTCAGCTTCCTTACCTGCTCACCTGCGGGTTGGGGGTGGGTCGATCAATCCATGGCCAGATGCGTTTGACATGTGGAGTGCAACTTGTTATTTAATTGGGAATTATTTCTTTGCCTTGAAAGGAGCTCCAGAAAAAAAATGATTGACTCAGATGCTGGGAGACTTACTCTACACGTTGATATACTTTTCGTGCTTCCAGTAAATTGTACGAGTGATAAAATGAGGGCGACGGCTTGTGTAAAACATAATTTTGTTTTGTACGCTACAGCGTTGTAAAGCTGTTTTTTCAAAAAGCGGGCACTCAGGATAATAGCCAAAGAATTGAGCTTTTGAATGATTATGAGCACTGTTATGGAAAGTTCCTATCGAGCAAATAAGGTCAAATATTTATATGTCGCCGTTCAACAAGAAAGAACCAGAAACAGATTATTCGGATTTTCTGTTTGGATTAGATTTTTTTCTGCTCATATATATTAACAGAGTCCATTCTTAAAAAAATAGGTGTGCAGTCCTTGTCATGCCCTGTCGGCGACTTGTGATACATTACTGGTGAAATTTATCGATATATTCGTCGCTACAGATGTTTTCGTCAATTTATAAACACCCTATTTTTTTGTTGGTCCGACAGACACATTACGTTTCAGCAAGCTGAGGAGGCTCAGCAACTCGTCTCTTGGACTGGCCACAAGAGTAGCTGTTTCTTTCTGAATTTTCAACTTGCACGAGGTTGTTAATGATGTTTATTGGGCTCGTGTTTTGACGTCTACGTGTCCTCTTCAAAGTTAATGATGAAGAACAAGATGACCGAAACGTCAGGCGAATAAGCATCATTGTCAACCTCATGAAAGCTGAAAATCTGAAAAAAAAACTTTTTGCTTGTTCATATCGATATTAAATAAAAGATAGTCTTTAAACTATTCATGAGAATAGTATCATAAACAGTATTACGGTCCGTTTTGGAGTAGTCAGAGATCATTTTCGCTCAAAAATAGTAGTGGAAGACCAGAGACTCGTTTTGTGATCTGATTTTGTTGTGGAATCCACTGAACAACAGGCGATTCTTAGCACGTTTAGGAAACTAGTTCTGTGTATTACCTTAATCTGACTAGCTTATCGAATCAAATAGTCTCGAAACAAACTTCTGCTTTTCTTGCAAAGTCGTGAAAGTGTTAGGCAACGATTGTACCTTACATCCATGGCTTTAGTAGCAGGTTCGCGTCGAGAACCGACTAGTCATACTGGAA